TAGTCGAAATGAGTGGCTGAGAATTTTCCTCCAATCACAACGCGTCACATCGCGCCTCATCAACTTCCGCCACATTAGGCCGAGGAGCTGACTGAGTTGAGAGGAGGTCTCTCGTCTTCAGTATTGTTGTGAGAACGCAGGGCAAGACCTCGTCAATGAGACTCAGTTAGGATATTGGCGGAAGCTGACTTGGCCCGCGCGAACGAGGATTTTTACTCGGTTCATGACTCCAACCAGGTCCTCCGTGCTGAAAACGAGGCCTTGGACGACCGTGTTCGCGATCAAGACATAGCGGTGGCGGGACAGGCTCACGCCATACAGGGTCTAAAAGACCGCTGTTGTTCGTCTGAGGCCGATTGTGCAGCGGCCATGCGTTACGTTGACCAGGAACGCGAACGCATGAAAGCCGGTCTCGTGCTCTACAACGCGGAGCTCTCCAAGCTCCGCCAGTACTTGGACGAGCACAGCCGAGGGAAGGTAAGCTCACCTTCACCTCGTACCAAGGTTCTGTTGGCAGAGGATGCCAGTCTTCGGCGGGAAATTTCTGTCCTTCGCCGTAACTCGGCTGAGCACGGGTTAAATACCAATGCACTGGTACTCTCCACTGCTGGCATATCCGCGTCATGAATAGATTGGGAGCTCCTCGGCTTAGGACCTGATCACAGTGGTCTCCTTTGCCTTCTCCCACCGAGTTCTACTGTTGAACTCTCGGATGACGATGGCTCAACTCCTGTCTTACCGAGGCCTCGTCCGCTTCCTCTGTGGCACTGTCTGGATCTGGGGTTTCTGCAGACGAGTCCTGTGAGCACTCGTTCATCCGATCCATGGCCAATTCTCCCTCTCTTGCCACCCCCGTAGCCGGTTCACTGTCCGCTGGAAGTAGTGGGGGTTGTTCGACGACGCGTCACCAAGTGCTTCTCGCCCCAAACGGCGACGCCTCCGACAATATGCATCGGAACCGAAGTCTATGCCGACGGCCTCCTCGCTTCCTGCGTCTCGAAGGCTCGGTCGTCCTTCGGTGAGCTTGAAGAAGAAAACCCAGCCAGCAACAGTGACACCGAAACCTCGTTCGGGTCACAAGAAGGCTCGGCCACTTTCTGACTCATCGGTCGACATTTCGCCACCGGCAAAGACGCTCCGCTCACCTCCTGCACCAACTATCACAGATGGGTGCATTGACGATGATATGGGAGGTGGGCGGCGGCCGAGGCATCCAATGAGGAGGTTAAATCCGGCACAGACCCCTTTGTCGGCTGTAGAGGTCTTGGACCTAACATCCGATGATGTCGTCACCTCGCTTCCCGGGAAAGACTCAAGTCCTTGCTCATCTCCCGTGGTGTCGTTTTTCCTCCCAAGGATAGACGTCCCCGGAGAAGCACCTCTGTTGCATCAGAACTGAGGATGCGGGAGAGTTTGGAGAAGGAGTTGGCAGATGACGACTTCATGTTGGGTTTGACTGCCGAGGGCTCAGTCGCCGGCATCATGGATGTGGCGTCGAGGAAAAAGGGTTCGCATAGCCCTTTGTCTTCCACGAACACTGTCGCCGAGGTCTCGGTTGACTGTCCCACCGGTGACGGTAACCACGCTCTTACCGGGGAGGACTCTGTCGTAGAGGCTCCAGTGGAGGCGGGAGCTCCGGTGGACGATGCCCACGCCTCCCAGTCCTCTGTCATTGGTGCGCCTGGTTTGGGGCTCGTTCACTCTCTGTCGCCTTTGCCCCCGTGCTTAAGCCTGGTTCGGCTGTGCCGATTTCTCAGCTTCTCAACGACGTAAATGTTGATCTGGCGGAGCTGGAACCCTCGGATAGTCATGCAAAGAACGCGGAGGCGTGTGCTGCGGATGTTGTCAGCGGCACCGAGTCCTCGGTCTCTCACTACGATGTGGTGTCAACCGCTCCAGCGGTATCGACCGCCCCTGGGTCGGCAGTCTCGCCCAAAACCATGGTCGTCCCAGCGAGAACGAGGGCTCGTTCGCAGCGTGCTGATGGTGTTCATACCCAGCCGGCTTCAACTCTTCGTCATGTGTGGGATGTTGGGGCGCAAGGTGGTTCTCGGCCTCGACGGCAAACCCACGTAGTCACTGCTACAGTGACGGCTTGACGAGGCACAGACACATCCGCCTTCGTTCCCGCGGCTACGGTGGTGTCCAGGGCGCCAAATTCCCGGAAACGCACGGCCACCGCAGAGCGATTCCTCGAGCCCGGTTTAGCCGCTGTTGGGGCTCAGAAGGCCTGGTGTCAGATGCTTAATGTGAGCCTATCTGAGTCGTCCCCCAAGGACCACGCGTCACCGCTCGACTTTGCGTTCCTTGTGCTGATGTACAACATCCAAGACATCCGTGGCGGGTGCCTTTTGACCGCATGCCGGACGAGCCTTTGACTTTCGGATTGGGACAGCTCGTCCAAGGCGTGCGGATTTCAATTCGCGCCTCAGGTCACGGTGGTCTCGTTCGAATGTGGCGCCGGTTCTCGGGCCACTGCTACGTAGACAACGAGAAGATTGACTTGTGTGTCGCCTTGTGGGAGCGCCGGCATTGGGTCCAAGTGTCGACTTTGGTCAATGCCATCCACAGATTTAAAGAGGATTCGGACCCTTTGGATCCCTTTACTCACGTGATTCTTGGTATGTGGTATCATCTCAATCGGATCAGGAACAACCGCGCTGATCTTCTGCGTCAGCATATTGATCGGCTGTGGGAGTGGTGCACAAGTGCTGGAGGTCGCACTCACACTCTGCCCACAGAGGTTTTGCTGGAGCATAGCTACCTCCAATATTCAACGGAGGTGCTGGAATGGACTCCAGATACCACAGATTGGTTCCGAGAGTTGCAGGTGCTGGACGCGAAACAGCCATGGGGATTGCTGGATTAATGCCCCTGCGGAGCATCCATACAACGCTACGTATGCTCCCTACAATCCTAGTGCCCTGTTTTCGTGCCGACGTCGATGACTCGGCAGGCCATCATACCTGGTATCGTTGTGGATCAATCCCTGGCTGGCGCTGATCTCACAGCTCCTTGGGTCACCACAGCTCTTTCTGTTGCTGGGATCACTGAAGGCTCGCCATCCAGTGCTGCTGAAGAGGGCTCGGTCGGCATTGAGGACGCTCCTTCAGCTCCTGTTGAGGCGGTGGAGGCTCTGGACGAGGACTCGTCCTCGTTTGCCCCTGCTGAGAATGCAGCTTCGGGGCCTGATAACGCAGCGACCGAGAGCTCAGCCACCCCTACTGGTGTTGATGCCCCTGCCCACGACGTGGAGGAGCCTCCATCCGACATAGTCCTCGCTCCGTTCGAGATGCTAGTCCAGATTGTGACCAGCGAGCGTTTGACGTCGGAGTAATTCACTTTCGAGCATTAATCTAGTTATAATTCCAAGTAATTTCGTAATCTCCATTCTCCATATCTCCATATTCCATTCCGAAACTCGTTCACATCATATACAAACATGTAAAATGCATTCTGGTGCAGTAGTTTCTTTCGTATGCTGTTGTGGGCTACTCTTACCCCACAGACAGAACTTTCATCGGTCGCTTCTAGTCCTCGTCAGCGACTTGGACCTTTTGCAGCCTTCGGTCACGACGTGTTTCTCGGAGATAGTCGTATAATAGACCACCGCACGAGAGATTAGATGTGGGTTCCCACGTCGGGTCGTCATATCCTACTCATTTCACCTTGAACTCTCTGACAGCTCGTTCAGTGCTAGTGGACAGAGGGGTTCTATCATCCACTATCGCTTCAACTTCAAATTCACCCGCGACGTGATCGGGTTCCCAACTATCCTCTGGGAGTAATTCCTCGTCGAAGTCTAGTCGTGTAGCCTCGTCCACGTCTCGTGTCAAACGATCACTCGGTCGATCTCCAAATTCGTCTATCATCTTTAGACGTGACACAGCACTACCGGGTAAAATCCGTACCCGCTTCGGTCGGGAAGTTCAAGGTCGTAGGCGAACTTTTCTAGTTTCCTCTTGACCCTGAACTGTCCATGCCATCGGTGTGCAAGATTTTTCGGCTTCACCCGTTCCATATACAGCCACACTCGGCTCCCGACTTCAAAAAATATACCTGGTTGCGCCTGTAGCATTGCTGTCCGAGTCCTCGGTCACTGCCCTGTCGCAGGCCGTTCGTCACTTGGCGTAACGGTTCGGCCCGTTACTGGGGTGTACCTCTTTCTCGGCCACGGCGGCTTTCATTATGCTTCCTCGCTCTTCAAGCTTTCTCGGTGGCCTGATATTCCTTGGCCATTTTCAATGCTATTTCTTGCTGACGGTTCACTTCTCGACGCCATGCCAGTGCATCTGACTGTCGACTGAGTCCTCGTTTGAGCGACGAGGACATCACCTTGAGTGTGGCCTGAGCGTCCCACCCATGGACGAGGAAAAACGGTGTCTCTTTCCTCGATGTGTCCATTGAGTTGTTGATCGCAAAGATCAACTTCTCGGCAATCTCTTCCCAGTCTTGTTCAAGTGGTCTTCCGCGTACACACGTACTGATTGCATAACAGTTTTGACCGAGCGCTCTTGCTGGCCATTGGCCTGGGGTCGGTAACTCAACATTGCGCTAGATCTTGATTGCATCATTTTTGGTGAACGACTGCTCATGAATCGTTGATCTCTGTCATGTCTGATGAGAGAGGGTGCACCGAATCTCCGGTACACGCACTCCTCAAAGCTTGAGCCACTCTCAGAACAGTCGTATCTGCGATGGTTTTGCCCATCACATACCCCGTGAATGCGCATTGGAATAGTAAGAGCGCTGTGTTGCCCCGCCGAGACTTTGGTAAGGGTATTACAAAATCCATCGAAATAACCTGAAACGGTCGTTCCGCTAGTATGTTCCCCGGAGAGTATCCACGGATCGTTGGTCGACTTTTGCTTGAGGTACAGTCAGGACAGGATCGCACGTGCTTCGCTACGTCCGCGTATAGACCGATCCAGTAATAATCCAACTTTACTCTCTAGAAAGTCCGACGATCCCTTGATGGCCGCCTTCTAACGATTCGTGGCAGTTCTGTAGTACCTCTTGAATCATCGTTGAGGGTACTACTAGACGCATCACCGCGTCTTCTTGCTGTTGGTCACTCCTCAGAGGCCTCGTTCCCACATAGTAGAGCACGTTGTCCTCACTTAAGCCGAAGTGATCGGACATTTTCCACGCGTCTCGCTGCACGGTACGTTAGGGTTGGTTCTTCTCCGTGGAGAACTATCTTCAAATTCGCTCACCACAACTCCTCGTCCTGAGCAGTCGCGATCCTTCTTCGACGTTCTCTTTGGACCGTTAGGGGGCACATCTTCCGCGTCAGGCAACACGGGGGTATCACCGTTGGGTGCCGTTACTCTTGAGAACTCTGCTTCCAGACGGGCCGAGTCCTCTGTTGGCACACCGTTGACTTCCTCTCGTTGTGTTACATCTTCTCCACCTCACCTGTCACCGAGGTTTCGTCGGCAAATCTGACGCGTTTGGGCTTCAACTTAGCTTGGAGTGTGGTCATTGCCGTTAGATCCCCTTTGTCCCTTCGCACAAAATCGAAGAATTTTTTTTGACGCGGCTTCGGGGCAGTTCCGGCTCGCTGGGACGGTTCCATGTGTCGCCAGTATCGCCTTTGAACTTGTGGTTGTGCGATGATAACCGAGGGTTCGTCCGCCGAGGACTCGGTGATGTGGACCCCCAGTTGCTATACGCTAGTTTACCCCAATCCTACAGTGGATTCGTGGTCTCGTTTGATGGATCGGCCAAAACCGAGAAGTACGGTGGCTATGGTAGTTGCTCATGGATTGTCTGGCGACTGCCTGACTGGACAATAGTCACCGCTGCGAGTGCTTACAACAGTGAACATGGCATGAACAATGGGGTTCAGGCGGCACTGGACATTGGTGCCACCGACCTTGTCATTGTTGGTGATTCGAGACTAGCAATCCAGCAGTCACTAGGGGTGATTGCGTATAAGAAGTAGTCGCTTATGACCCAACTCAATCGCCACCGAGTACTCGTGGCACGATTAAAGTCAGTCAAGTACCTACACACTGTACGAGAGTACAATGCGTCGGCCAACTCGTTAGCAACGGAAGCATTGGAAAACAAGGCGTCAAACGTTATATCTGCCGAGCCTAGGCTAGCAGAGTTGAGGTCGCTGAACCGTATCCAAGAGGCCAAGAAGATCCCTTCGTGGGCGGTGTAACCTTCGCCAACGAGTCTTTCAAATCCACAAATCCACAAAACTCGTTAGCCCAACTTGCAAGAGCTGGACGAAAGTGCAATCCTTTTCTTTGAACCTGGTGACTACCAGGTGCCACGGAGACAGCATCTCAGCGAATTGGGCCGTCCGTCCGAACAGAGACTTCTATGTGTGTACCCACTCCAATGTTGAAAACCGAGTATATACATGAATGGTGCGGCCCGTCAGCTGTGTGTAGCATGTCTTCAGCAACAGTAGCAAGGCGAGCACTTCCTTCTCGGCTGGGTGGTAGTTCACCTCGGCTTCTTTCAGAACACGTCCGCAGAAGCGGGCCGGGTGCATTTTGCCATCGTGTTCTTGCATTAAGGTGGAGCTTAACGCCTACTCGTTCGCGAATAATGTCACGTGTATATCCTTTTGTCGGTCAAAATGACGCAGAATCGGGGCGTCACCGATTTTCTGTTGCAGTTTAGCAACCCTCTGTCTCGCGACGGACAGGTCCCCGCCCGGTTCGAAATCTCCTTCTTTCAGTTAGTATAACGCGGCCAAGAAGACCGCGGAGTCCTGGATGAACCGGCTGTAGTAGTTCAGTGCGTCCAAGAAGGACTGCATGCCTTTCTTACTCGTCGGGAACGAGAACTCGGTTACCCTTTTTATCTTGTTAGCGTCCGCTCGTAATCCTTCTGGAACGACTTCATGCAATAGAAACTCGACACGCGACTGAACAAAGATGCTCTTGGTGAAGCTCACACTGATGCGACACTCAGTAAACCGTTGGAGCAACAGGTCCAGGGTTGACAGATATCCATCGAACGTCTCGCTCCCGAAACAGATATCATCGACAAACGAC